AGAGCGAAGAAGAAACTTAGGAGGGAAAACGGAGGGGGAGGGAGGGGGGAGGATGGTAGCGGGGAGGGAGGGGGAGGTATAAGGGATAAGGAGGGGGAGGGGAAGAATGGTCGTACATCACCGCCGGTATTTACGACGTACCATCGTAAATCAATGATCGCACGAACAGCGCGGTTCAACGAATTCCTTTTCCCTTCCTATATATGCCCCCTTCCCCGACCCTTCCTTCCGACCATTCCTCCGCTTCCTGTACACGAGCCGATGTGAGAATCTGTCCTGCCATACATCGCCTTGGACAGAGGATGGTGAAACTTAAGAATCTTTGAAGGAATCTTTGCCCCCACGGCCAAGATATATCGACGATTTATCCGCCAAGACAAAAACTATTTGTCTTCGCTAGCTGAATTTTCGAGCGTAAGATGAATTCATCGTTTTCGTATCGCGCAATTTATGCGGCTATACCCCGACGCCACCTTCGATCGCCGCTTATGATCCCTTTTCTCTCCCTCTTTCTTGGAAGTCATATCGATCACTCTTCTCTTATTTCGCGACCAATTTCGATGAGCGAACAGCACAGAGATATCGTGTATGCGCGAGAGAGAAACGAATCGGCCAAATGTTATCCGACACCAGTTATCCCTCTAGCATTCGTCCGTAGTTGAAGTGAAAAGGAAAAAGAAAAAAAAACGAGGGAGTTGGAGCGAAGTGGAAGAAGAAGAATAGGATAATTATCCATTTAGTTATGTTTGGACAATCGTTTCGACCGCAACAACCTCCATAATCCCGAGTAGGACAATCTTGTAACGACGAAGTAAAAAAATATTCTTAAAAACCGTGTTTCTCTTGTCTCGGTAATTCAATACCAGTTAAATCACCGGCAATGCAGATAACGCCGAGTTTGCCTCGAGCCCACGGTACCGGGAAGTAGTGGGGATAGGTTGTGGCCATATATCCGGACATGAGATAGCGAGGTCGTAAAATCAGTCAATCGTAAAGTAATGATGTATCGAATGTCAGGAATAACTTTTTGACACATCTACGTTCAGATAAGGGTTTGAAACTTGGGGAGCTCGAAAGAGAATGGGTTGCACACAGCTCGAGTGTGTATCTCGGCCGATACTCCAATTCGTTCCGAGAAAAAAAACGGCAAGAAAAGGAGGAAAAGAATAGGAATATAAATCAGAACGACCATGTGTCCAGTTTCTTTTCCTGTCGAAAAAGAGGATGGGCCAGTGGGTTAGGGTCATTCGGCGTTGAAAGGAACGAAGCATTGTTTGTGGGGGCCCTTTAAACGTCATTTAAACCGTGACTGTTGCCAGCCCAGGAAGGATCGTTTTAACAAGGTTTGGGACAGAGAGCAGGTCAGATCTCTTCTTTACCATACAGCGATTATGCCACGAGGCGATGCCCTTTGCGCCCGCGGCCACCTCCAGGAATCGACTTTTCTCGTTTTGCACAAAGAAATGGTTCATCACCTCGCCTCACAGCTGATCCCGGGTGATCCGTGTAAAATCACGTTGCGCGATTGTCGAAATCCTCCACTCGGCAACTCATCCATCCATCGGGGAATGGTGAATCTCCCATCTCGACTCGCTCGAAAGATACGATTTTACGTATATTTTAGGATCAACGTGAGCTGGCGTTCCAATATTTTTTCTCATAGTTCATAATTATGCGCTTTTCGCTTCGGAAAAAAAGGAACGAGCGTTATATTTTTCGAACAAAGTATTTTACGACATAAATATATTTTATCAACGCGCATATAATACACCGAACCATGTAAAAAATTTAATTTATCTAGGCGGTACTCGCGAAGAATTTAATCCGTGCAATTTTTACACGTTCCGCACAAACGGAACAAATGTCCCCTTAAAAAACGAAAAAAGTGGAAAATAGAGGGGGGGAAAGCAAAGGAAGACGGTGGAGGATGCGTAGCATCTTGGCGGGGACAGCCGTAAAAAAGGCGCGGTGGAAAAAGATGAAAGTGACCCTCGAACGGACTTTGAAAAGAGCCATAAAAGTACAATGAGGGGTTAGAAGGAAGACGCCTTCGCTTTCAGCGTGGTGAAATGACGAAGGGAAAGGGGGAGACGTTCAACGGAGGAGAGCCTTGGCTCCCAGAAAATTCGTGTTTTTTACTCGAACGTTGGGAAAGATTACAAAGAAGAACGGAAAGAGGACAAAACCTTTTTAAGATGTACGAGAGAGAAGAGGCGAAGTGTCTCCACGCTTAGATGATGAAACTCGCTCGCGCTGGTTACGACCCTTACACGCTTTATCATATTCGAGCGAATTTCGTAAAAGTCATTTTTGAATACGAACCTTCTCCCCCTCCGTCACAATTTTCACGATGCGTATAACCGCGCACGCGGAACGAGGGTTATCCCTCACGTGGTAGTGTCTCCGGGTTTTTATCTTAATTTACCAGTCGTTTCGCTAATCTTATTTGCTCGAGCTGGACGCAGTTTAATTCCATTAGCGAAATTAAAGTTCTAGCAAAGAGTATTTAACTTCGGATCGATACTACTAACCCGCAAACCATTAAGATAAACCCCGGTGAACTCGATTCTGAATAACGCGGATGGGAGAGAAATTTTTTTCGTTGCGCGATCATCGCTTTTATTCCACAAAAAAAAAAAAAAAAAAGAAAAAAAGATGCGAAATCATCATTTTCGTTTGATAATGTGGCGAAACAAAAATAACGTAACGTATGATGTTATAAACATATAGTTTTCGACTCGCAAAATGTTACGCAATATAACGAAATTAAAAAAGTGAGGTTATGATAGAATTAGAATGGTTAGAATGTATGGAGATAAAGGAGGACTGACCTGATATAAATGATGACCCCGTTGGTGCATATCCTTTTCCATCCACGTGGTACAGTAATCGCTTGTTGCTGCTGCTGTTGCTGCGTAACCACCGCACTACCGTTCATTGTCAGCACTACATTTTGTTGAACGACGTTGTTATTGTTTGAATTGTTGATGCGCGAAAGCGGCGGCTGACGCGCAGCCTGCTGCGCGCACGAACCACCGCCGTTAACCGACGCGGCAGGCAAACCATCGTGTGCCGATTGACTTTGACTTTCGGGACTGCTCAGGCTGCTATACGTCGACGATTCACCGGTATCAGATCGGACAGAGTCACAGCTAGTCGCACCACTACCACCACTACCGATAACGACAACACTACCGCCACCACTGACAACACCGACATTCGAACCGGACGAAGAGAGCGACGAGCCGGTTTGGTTATCGAAACCGTCCTGTTGCCGGCTTTTCTCCTCCATATTCATGCTACGTTGTTCGACACTGTCGCCTTGAAAAACACTCGCGGACGCTTGAGACGGTTCGTTTCGTACGTACGCGACACAGGCGTCGTCGCTTAAAACACCGACGCAACCCTCCCCGGGATTCCCTTGCGTGATTCCCTGGCTACCGCTACCGTTGTAACCGTCGGCCAATCTCGCCCCTGATGGATAAACGTCACCGTGAATCCTCGTTGGAAATAATTTGTTGGATTGTAGCATTTCACCGACGTTCACCCTACTACAGATCGGCTCCACGTTGCTCGTTGCGAGGTTATCGATATTGCTCGAATCGTTTTCCAATGGATTTCGGTTTTCCGGATTTTTGCCGTCGCACGCCGCCGCTACACACGTCATCGTGGTGGTCGTGGACGTGCCGGTCGTTTGAACCATATTCGTCGTCTGTCTGTACAATAAACCGTTGTTGGAGACGATCGATCCATAATCTTCTTCGTCTTCGGTGTTACCGGTGGACATGGATCGCGCCGATCGGCTCGACTCTCCATCGGTCGACGCATATTCGAGCGGTTTTAACCGGCAACAATTGTTGACCGTGGCTCCAACGGTTGTGCCGTTGTTATCGTTGCAGTAAATGGCGGTTTTGGCGGGAAACGTCGCCGCCGCCGTCGCCACCTGCGGCGGCAGAATGCCGGCGTACGTTGCCTGCTGTGGAGACTGATAGCCGACTGCGGTAGCAGCAGCAGCAGCGGCGGCGGCATTCTGACCGACCGCCGTCGCGTACGCAAAATTCTCCCCCGAAACGTAGACTAGAACGCTGTTTTGTTGAATCCCCTGTGCGTGTTGAGGATGTTCTTGTTGCTGTTGTTGTTGTTGTTGTTGTTGATTATGGTGGTGATGTTGATGCTGATGTCCGTGAGTCGGGAGAGCAGGGTGTGTGGACGGCTGCTCAGGCTTGCCGGCCATGGTCCAGGTCCAGCAGCGCTGCAAGTAACCCCGACACGGACATCACTGGGACGCAGGTAGCACGCCTACGTGGAGATACCTCCAGGTTCTGCCGCATCCTCCCATAAACGGAAATGATCACGCGTCTACCACCAACGAAATCCACCGCTTTCTATCGGTCGTTCCTCTTGGCCACGTAAACTCATCGATCATTCGAATCTCACACCTGCCATACGCGATCTTGTTATTCGACATCCTTGGCTCCACTGTACACCGCATACCAGATGGACAGTTCACCGATCGTTCCTCTCTTTTTTTAATTTCTCCTCGATAAATTTTTAAATCGCGAACACGCTCACACAACACTTTCTTCGGTGGATGATCACAGACTATAACAACGGTGCCAAGATTTTGAAATTAGAGAGTATCCGTCGGAGGAAAGACACGCGCTATTCACCGGTCAATGCCCGTCTAACCTCTCTCTTGTGATTGGTACACACTCTACCATCATACTAGTTTCGTTGATTGTTCGTAATTTTAATATTTCGGAAATCACAGTAAAATTATCGGCATTATTCTCTTTGTTCGATTTATTATGTATCATAGAAAAACAATATGATAGATCATAGTTGATAGTAGATCAACATTTCCCATTTGATCGATATATTTTCGTGAAAAATAAATTCGTTTCAAAAATGAAAACGTTATTTTACTTTTTTTATATTCGTATGGACTAAGAGATTTCTTCTATGAGAAAACATTTAAAAATTGGATAATTGCTTATAGTAAATCGTATATTCTTAAATAAATTCTATGACATTCGGAGCAAAAAAAATAAAAAAAGAATAATTCTTTTAAAATTTCCATTCCCAATACCCGTTTGACGTACAGTAAATAATAACATTGTTTATTAGAAAATTACGCGTCTGTTGTCATTTACAAGGTTGATTTACAAAGCGACGATTCATTCATTTGTCTCGTTTACCGATTCAGTCGCGTTCAAACAACACAATGGGGCCAAGCATTCAACTAACCTAGACTCTTGAACACGCTGTTACACGTTACGCGGTATAGTAGGTTACGCTGGAAAACGTAAAGTAGGAAATTTTAGCGAATGTTGCAGATCAACGAACAACATTCAAGTCAACTTTGGTGAAAAATAGTACTACGTTTATAAATGAGAAAAATTTAATTTTGTCGGATAAATAGTTAAGGTCGTTGTGTCATTGCCATGGTCCTGTCGCTTTATTCGTGGTCGCAGTTCTAATTATTCCGTTTCACATAGACGCACTTTTCGATTAATGAATCGCACTCAATTATGTCATTATAAGCCACTGTCACTAAAAAAAATACGCTATTTTGAATCTTCGTTCACACACTATATAAGAAAGCCATTTTCTTCGACACTGAATACGTAAAGGTTAATCGTGACCGAGCCACGGTTCGCTCGATCGGTAATGGCGCGAATACACTCTCGGTATAAAAAACACTTTATATTGCCGTAACAATTCACGTTAAATCGCACGGACGGACGTACGTCGTGTTATGACGCTGTGTCATCGTCACAGCAGCAGTAGCACCACCACCACCACCACCACTGCCTCCACCACCACCACTAGTACTACCACCACTACCACCGGTCGCGGTTACGAACTCGGGTTAAGTTAACTAACCCTCTTCTCGACTCGAACACCTGCGCGGGCCGCGCTCATCGTTTTCACCGAACCTCACTTCTTGATCGCGTGGAAACGTACGCTTATTATATTCTGACTAACACAGTTTCCTCGCTTTCTCGCACTGATCCCTCGTCGTTTACTTCGTAATCACTTCCTTTCGTAAAACACTTCTTCGACATAAACTATTGAGCGAAACTCCATTCTGCAGATCCTATGCGTACGCTGTTTTCGCGTAACTGATATTGGAAAAATATGGCTCCCTCCGCATACCCAGAAACCTTTGCGGCATCTCGACGGCTGGCTTTCGGGCACTCGTATACGCACGTTACAAAAACATCGACCCTCGCTGCGATTATATCGCCATCGTTAGGCTATTCTACGTAACTCAAAGGCACGTTAACATTGTTACTTCCCACGAATGCCACCATTTAATATACTCGCATGCGTATACCGTTTAAATTTATATAAGTGTATAACAAATCTTTCACATATATTTCTCTCAATGAAAATTATTGAAATATTGTCTAATATTCGAATATTACTTTCACAAATGGACTGATAATTATTAAGTAAAATTTAAGAATTTAAAAAAATAAATTTGTTAAATAATATATATAAGAAAATTGAAGCATAACATGCATATGAGGGATCAAAGGTCAAATTTTATAACAACTTTTTTTTTTTTTTTGTACATACTTGACATTATACGTTTTCCAATTTATTTGAGACGATTCAGAAATGTTCTAATCAATCACCAATTTATCTATGTATAATAAATAAGATTATAATACGCGTCTATTTAAATTCGCTATAGTATTTGCGGACGAGTACATGACCTTGTATACAGTAAATTACGTGAATGTGAAGGCGTGTTTAATTTAATGCAGGCGATCATTAAATTGGACATTTGTTCACGCGCATTATTCAAAGAGTATATGAAACACATTATAATGATTAAGAGAATGGTCTCTTTACATTATTAGATACATTTTTTGAAATAATTTTACTTTGATTCCAGTATTATGATTATATAAATACTGGAATACCTTTTCTTTATTACAACAAACAATGAATACGCGCAATAGTCCTGTTTTACACACTGATACCACACTCTTTTCTTGGATTATATGTTTTATAAACAAAATATTTTTTTTGGTATCATTATATGCCAATATGAGATTATAAACAAATTAAACACTACCTACATATAATGAAATAATTGAAAAAAAGAAATAAGTAATTTTGAAATTTTATAACCAAAATTATAGCATATATATTTGTTATAATAGAATATTCACCAATATATTTCGTACTATTTTTATAATCTCGTCGTTATTAATACAGACATCGAGTTAAATTCTGAAAGCTGGTATTATAATCAAATACTAATAATTTAAAGAACTTTAGGGAATACGAATACAGGTAAGGTACTAATTTGACTGTCTAACTTTATTTCTAGCATTTAGTATGCGCGTATCGATCTGTATCGAAAATCGTTAAATAGAAAGAAATTCACAAATAGCAGAAAATAATCAGAATGTTCAGCGTTACATGATATAGTTGATTATGTTCACTATTAACGATACACGATGTTGCATTAGATGTTGAGTAAAGTCAACTTTCCTTATCACTTTTCTTAATGATAAGTACATCTTTTTAAATACTTCTCTACAGCAAGCAATGAACTAATTTGTAATCAGTTTACCAGTTTTCACCAGAATTTATAATTTAATTTAGAAGTGATAATAAATGTACCATCAACAGCATTAAAGGTTTCCTATACAATTCAATATTTATGAATGATCTTTATATTAGTATCATTAGTGATTCTGTAGTCGTAGCTTTCACAGTCGTGCACATATCTAAACATTTTTCTCAGATTCTTTTCATCTGTCTTGAAAAACTTTGTTATATGTCCGCATTTTTTCATTCTTCTGTTAATAACATATGGTTCAGAATCAAGCGAATGGGACAAAAGTTTAAAATGAAAAAATGACCATATTTATTGTGAGACTGATGTAATTGAATTAATTTGTGGCACATTGGACACCTGAAGAACCTCTTTCGTCTTCCTCATACGCTTCTCGTTGTTCTCTTCGCCTTACTTCTTGTTCTGGATCCAAATCCATAAGAGAACAGTCTTCCGCTCCTTCTGGAATTATAACTTCTTCTCTTGGTGGTAGGCATTGTTCAAGTGTTGGAATGACGGAAGGGTCCATAGATTTCGGGAAATTCACTACAAATTGAATTATAAGCCTGCCGTGTGTGAAAGGATCTTTATAAATTGGCATTCCTTCATTTAGAATGCACTTTAAGTCTCCGTGCTTTACAACAGTTCCAGGATATGAGGTTATTACTAAATCTCTTCCATCTAAAGTGCGAATAACTTTCTGAAATCCACATAGAGCTTCTACAAGTTCTAATTGCATCCTCATAATTAAATCATGACGCGAACGTCTAAAAAAAAGAAAAAATTATAATACAATAAGAAATACAATCAATGTTAAATATAACAAAACAATTATATAATTACTTACTTGAAAACTTCATGTTCTTTCTCTTCAAGAAGAATAACAATATCTCCTGGCTCATAATCTGGTTCTTGATCACCTTCTCCAGCAAAGACAATCTTCTGATTATGTACCATACCTGGATCAACATGAACTTCCAAAATTTTTCTATCTCTAATAGTTTTTCTACCACCGCATTGTTTACAACGATCACGTGGATTTATGCGATCCCCTTGACCTTTGCAGTCTACACATATAGTCTGTAAATGCTGCAACATTCCAGGACCCAATTGTTGTATTTGAACTTGCATGCCAGAACCATGACATGTTGAACATTGTTCCACAGAACCTTTCTTTCCACCGATACCTAATATAAAGAATTTTAGTACATTTATAATATATTACATAATTTTCTATTTATAAAAAATATTTAATATATATATATGTTATATTATATATAAATACATAATATATACCTTCGCATTTATCACAAATAACATTTTTTTGTAATGCTAATTTGCGGACAGTTCCCTTATACAATTCTTCCAATGATACAGATAATTGATGTATAACATCTTGTCCTCTGTGTTCTCTCCTGCGACCACTTCTTCCTCCTAAACCTCCACCAAAGAACATATCAAATATGTCACGTGGCGAAGAAAATACATTTCCACCCGCTCCTCCTTCTTTTAAAGCTTGTTCTCCACCTTGATCATAAATTCGTTTCTTTTCAGGATTTGACAAAACTTCATATGCTTGTGAAATTTGTTTAAACTATAATAAGAAAATAAGATTTAATAGATAAATATAAATTGTAATATTTAAGATATTTAATATGTATTAAAATTAAAAATACCAACTTTTTCTCCTTCATTAGGATTCTTATCAGGATGATATTTCAGTGCAAGTTTTCTGTAAGCTTTCTTTAAATCTTCTTGTGTACATCCAGGTTTTACACCCAACACATCATAAAATGTAGTTTCTTTTACCATTTTTACCGATTTATTTTCTTCTAATGATGTTCAATTATTACAGTAGTATTTTTCCTGCTAAAGATCAAATAAAATAAAAGAATTATATATTATAAATTGTTAATTTAAAATATTATTTATTTTATTTATTATTTATTAATATCTTTTATGAAATAACAACTCATTAAATAAACAATAATCAATTATTCTTTACAATATACAATATGTAATTTTAATTCAATAAAATTAATAAAAAATTCTATTTATAATAAAAAATTCATGTTAATAAATTTACATATATAATTTTATTTAATGTTTAATATTTTTTTATAAATGTACTTATAATGTACATAATCATAATAAATGTATTTTACCAGAAAATAATATCAAAATTGTGTATATTTATTAAAACAAATTTTAAAATAAACAAGTTATATAAATATAATTTAATAAAATATAATAATAGATAAATATATTTATAATATTTTAAACAAACAAACATAAATAAATAATATTATAAATTATAATATATTTTAAAAAGAATTTTTATACTATCTTCTTTAATAAATTATTATATAACTTAGTTCTATTTATTTATAATTATTATTAAATAAATTTAAATTTAAAAGAAAAATCAAATACTAAAAAATAACATAGTAATTATCATAATAATTATTTAATAGATTATAAAATATATTAATTGTATAAGTTATTAAAACTTAAAATTTATTAATTAAATGAAATATACAAATTTACAAAACTGATTAATATTAAATTTCATATTACATTATGAATAAAATAAATATTTAATAAATTACTTATTAATTTTTTTTTTTTTTTTTTTTTTTTTTTTTAACGAAATATAAAAACAATGTTAATCTTTATGTATACTATATATAACTATATGCATTTTAAATACAAGAATTATGTGTACTGACCTTGAACTTCAAGTACTTGTAATTTTAATAATGATATAACACAAATAAATATATATATTAAACGATTACAAAATTATTTAAATTTATGTTGGATAAAAGTTTTATATTCAATATATTTAAACTTCAAAATACATTAATTATTTACTCATAGAAAAAGTACAACGAATTGTATCCATGTGCGTGTTTGGTTTCAAAATGGCGACGAGATTCATTTTAAAATAATAAAATGTAATTAATTGACATGAACAAAAAATTAAAACCCGTTTCAATTTAACGCAGTATTTGTCGTGTTATGAACAAAGAACACCACACTTTCTAGATCTTTCTGCTAGCATATATACATATATATACATATAGATAGCCAGAAAAAGCTTGGACTACCGGTTAAAAATTAGACAAGAAAAAAGAAAAAATATCAAAATTATAATTTTCTCAAATAAAAAATTGATTTTAGTTTGTAATTTAAGTAATATAAGCGAAATTAAAGTTATTATAATTTATTACGTCTAAGTGACAGATATACTTTGCAAGTTCAACCACATTTGGTATTGACACGAGTAAGGCAATAGGAACATCCACCATTTTTCAACGTTAAAGTGCGAGTCATGGACGAGCATAACTTATACTATGATAAAATTCATTGACGCGTATTTCGTAATATACAATATGTTTAAGCATGCATACAATTATTATTCAACCTTCAAATGTCCACTTCAATTTCAAAATCATTGAAAAAGTTCTAAAATTAGGTCAATATTCTGTAATATTTTCAAATGTTATGTCGTAAATTGATTCTGCATGTTACTGCTATATGAATTTCAATCCCAAGAAAAATTCACGAGTTCGCAATCGATCGCAAGATTCAACGGTGGAAATTCCATTCATCTGCGCATATATTCTAAAATATTCTAAAATTCTCGATTATTAATGTTTAATCCTACCTGTATCAGCAGAGAGGAAGCCACTCGTGGAAAATATCCGTACCGTGAAGCCTCGTCTCACTCCACGTAATAGTATTTGACGAACTGTTGTAAGCGAATAGAACTCTCACCAATATTACTGCTTGCTTGTACCCGTTCTCGAAACTTCCTAGGAGAGTAATGGACGTTACTCGAAAGGGAACCAATCAGGTAGACAGAGAATTGCAGTCAGCGCCAAATGCTATTACGGTCTTCCTAAGAATTTCGCAATGTATATTCCAATACTTTATCGATAAAGAAGCAAATAAATATTTTTTTTTATACTAAAACGAAAATACATATTAAATAATGTTACAAAATTTTTATATATTCTAAAATTGTAATAAAAATTATAATTTTTATTAAAAAATTTGTTAAAAGATATATATATTTTTTTAATCTAATTACAAATCTACAAATCTAATTATATTGAAAATTTTTTTATTTCTGTATTTTCAATAAAATAATAATATATATACATTATTTTAAATAACTTTACATAAATAAAAATTATATTTTATTTAATTATATTATAATCAAAATTAAATTTTGAATATATTTTGAAAAGCTCTAGATTTTATTATAGAAAAATATTTAAAATCCCTATACAAAAAGTAGTTATATTATTATGTATTTCATTTTATAATAATTTTATATTATTTTAAATATTTAACAATAATATATCATTCTTTTAATAAATTGAATTTTTTAATTATATTTTTAATGTAAGAAAGGATAAATAAATTTTTAAGTTTTATACAGGATAAATATAAAATTAAGTTTAACCATCGTAGATAGCGCTGCACACTTCCGAAATTATCCTTTTGCTGGAGGTACGATAATCGAACAAAATGGTAAGTATTTTGTATCCTAAAATTATTGATTAATCATTAAAGAAAATATATAATATGTATTTAAAATATTATTAATAATGTACAATTATCTTTTAACAAATATGATTTGTTGATATCATTTTCTTTTTATGCAATATTTATATTGATGTAGCATAAATTATTCATCTAAAAATATAATACTATTTAAAATAAAATAAAATACAAATAAAAATAACTATATAAATAAAACTACTATGTGAACTAATTTTACTCATTTTAAATGTTTTTCCTTAAAATTAATAATTAATAATTCCAATGAAGATAATGTTAAACAAAATATAACCTCAAAATTGTGTCATTGTTCTTTGTTATAGACGGAAGGTGCAGTTACAATTAGAACTAGAAAGTTCATGAGCAATCGGTTACTATGCCGAAAACAAATGGTATGTTTCATATTTTTATTATTTCTTTCAAATTAAATTAATATTTACTTACATTTTTTATTTATACTTTCATATCATTACACGTGTATAATTATATTAATCATTTATGTTATGTTATAGATAATCAATTAATAGATAAAAAATAGGAATGTTATAGATCATTATACTTTTATAAAATGATATCTTTTTCAGGTTGTAGATGTATTTCATCCAGGTCATCCATCAGTTCGAAAAACAGAAATACGTGAAAAACTAGCTAAAATGTATAAAGTTACACCAGATGTAGTTTTTGTATTTGGTTTTCAAACTAATTTTGGTGGTGGTAAATCAACTGGATTTGCATTAATTTATGATACATTGGATTTTGCAAAAAAATTTGAACCTAAATATAGGTTAGCTAGGCATGGACTATTTGAAAAACAAAAACAAACAAGAAAGCAACGTAAAGAACGTAAAAACAGAATGAAGAAGGTTAGAGGTACAAAGAAGAGTAAAGTAGGAGCTGCATCTAAGAAGGTAAGATAATATTGTAATTATTTTTTGTAAATTATTATATCTATTTACATCTATATAATTATCTATTATTTAATTAGCATTACAACTAAAGAATAATAAAATTTCTTTAAAAAATTTTTATTAAAACAAACAAGAACAAAAAATATATATATATATTTATTAATATTAATATTCATTTGTAATTTATATTAATATTTTCTATATATTAATTTTTTTTGTAAATATTCATTAAAATTAAATATTTTATACAAATTAAAATTAATCTTAATGAATAAAATTTTTTATTATTTTTTTTATTTTTGTTATTTTATTTAAATAAAAGTCTTGAAAATTAAGATATAAAATGAACAAGCATGTTTATATTTAAGTTCTATGAAAAAGAAAATATTATTATTTTTACTAATTATTGTTTTAGGTCTTAAGACATTTAAATTCAACAAATTTTATATATAATGTCTATAAAATATATATTTAAGTTTTGCATGCTATTCAGTGGTATACGCTTTTTATTTACATTCTAGGGAAAGAAGTAGTCAAATGCTCATCATTTGTACTACAAGTCTCAAGAGGGAACTTAATTATGATGCTCATATATATGGTCAGCATGCAAAAGTCTAGGTTTCAGTTTCCCTTTTATATGTTTTCTTGATTTCCCTTTTTTAGATTTGCTTGGATTTGTCTTGTATTATAGTCCTAATGTAATATAAATTTTAATGGAATTCTTATTTAGTTTAGTGCATATTTCATTTATTGTAAAAATTGCTTTTTAATTTTTTTATATTAAAATTTTATAAATCATATTTAAAATGAAAAAATAATAAAATTATCTAATTTTAATTTAATTTATAATTATCAGATTATTGACATATTATCATCAAAATCATTATTTTTATCTTGTAATTATCATCTTATTTATTATAATTTTTATTAATTTTTAATATATTTTTTGCATTTGAATTGAATATTATAAAAAATTAAATAAAAAAATTTTTAGATAATCAAAGTTAATATATATTTTTTTTAATATGTGATATAAAAATAAAATAGACATATAATACATATTAATTGAATATAATAGAATAATTTTGAGATAATTTAAATTAGTGTTAATCTTTTTTTTATTTAGAATATAAAATAAATATATATTATTAGCATTATTGTTATTATTTAAAAATATAAAGATATTTTATATAAAATCAAATAGAAAAACTTTCAGCTTATATTGAAGCTTTTTTTTTTTTTTTTTTTTTATTATTATTATTATTATTATTATTATTATATATCTATATATCATTGTATCTTATGCTTTTATTAGAAGTAGAATATTGTTTTGCATGTATGGAATGTAACATTAAATAATATTAAATTGAAAACATATCACTGATAATATTATTTTTTTATTTTTTATTACAGTAATCATCATGAAGACCACAATTTGTTCAACATGGACGTAAAAATTATTATAATAATTTATTATCACAGATAATTATGATAAGTTTTACGGAATAAAAGTGTACTCTTCTTGATGAAAAAATTGAGTGCAGTACTCTTTTTTTTTTTTTTTATTATATATATATATATACCTTATTTGTATAATAGTTATCCATAAGCATTTGTTGTGAAAATGTTACATTATTATAAACATATTCTGATAACAAATATTCATTTTCATATAAAAATAAAAATATCTTAATTAAAAATTTTAATAAAACTGTAAAATTTAAGAAATCATAAAATTTTATTATCTTTTCGGATGTTAGATTATCCCATAAGAACTTCTACTGATCCTTTATGAACAAAATCGTTATCAGCTTCATTATTTTTTGATTGTTCATTTGTTTGTTCAGTAGTTTGTATCGTTGTATCAGTTTGTTGTATCAAGATAGTCGTGAATAAGCTTCTCGGTAAAGATTTTGTAACTTCTAGACTGTTCGTAATTTCAGATGTTATTTCAGTATTAGTTTCGGTTGAGTCTTTTGGCTGAGTAATACTGGACAGTTGAGAAGTAACATCTAATTCATCAGAATTATATTCAAATTCATTTTGATTCATAAAATCTTTCCGAATAAAATACCAATTGCCAATTCGAAATCTCAAATCTTCATTAGAATTGAAAAATAAAGTAGCTGTAATTTATAATTATTGAAATTAACAAGTATAATGAAAAATTAATATATTTAGAATAATTTAATTTTATTCAATTAATTTTTTATGTAAAATTTTTTATAAACATAGGAATCCTTACATAAATTTAATAATTGCCATTCATAATTTCTTACTCTGCTTCTTAATTCAAAAAATTGCTCATAAATTTGATTTTTTAAATTATAAAACCAATTTTTTATATTTTGAAAAAATTCATTGCTATATCGAAAATCTGTCTGTAATCCATGGTTTTCTATAATAAGAAATTTTGATTATTTACATGTTTTAAAATTATATATTAAAGTACATTAAGAAATAAATTTATAAGATGATTATGAAGATATTATATGAGAAAATGAAATCTTTTATAAATATATCTAAGTATTTAAAAAAAATATTATTTTTAAAATTTTTATATCAAAGTTTGTTGTTAACATAACATTAACAAAATGTTTAAAAAAATATAATACCTCTATCACAAGTTCCAATTGATGCAAATAAATCGAAAGTAGTAAATAATAATAAAATAACAAAGAAAAGACACATTTTTTTTTTTTAATACTGATTATAATGAATAAATGTCTCTAATCACTGATTCAGTGAATGTTCGTGCTTTTATATACATATATTCCACCGGAAGAAAATACTTATTAGTACAACAATTTTATCGCGGATCAAGTATATTAAACAATATTGTTATGCAACTTTAATGACCTTGTTTATTTTGATTTTGATGTCATATAACTATAATATACAAAAAATATGACAAGATAAAGAAATAATACAAAATATTTTCAAATATATATATATGTTCAAAATATAGTACAATTTTAAAAAAATATTTAACGTATATAATATAAAATTTCAATTTACTGAATTGTGTGACACTTTATTAATTTAATAATAAATCAACAAAAAATCGTCTAACGGTTGATTGGATATTCATGAAGAAGTTATTATTTATGTAATAATTATTATTATCTGTTATATTATTATTCTGAATTATTATTTTCTTGTGAATTTTTGATTTATAAAAATTTTATTTTCTCATAGCGATTCGTATTTTTTTATAAATATGAATTCAATTATTCTTTATTTTTCCAGTAAAAGTTAATTAAAATTAGGATTATTTTTGATGCAGCAGAATGTTTACGAGTGACACAGAATATATATATGTATATATCATGCAAATATGTATATTAATTTTATTTTAAATTATAAAAAGAATTGAATTTTTTAATATAATATTACATTATCTTCTATATAATGGGCCAAAATATAAAAATCGAATATCGATTGTACAACATCAAAACAAATATCATGGTTTTTTGTAATTTCATTTTTCTATAACTATTATTTTTTATTATTTATATAATCAATATATGAAAAAATGCACCAATATATATTTTTGCTTCATTGTAAATTATATGCAATAATATGAGCATTAATTCATTGAAAGAAATGTTATTTGTTTAATGATTTAACGAATATTATAATTAAATATTGTTCAAAACAATTAGATCATATATTTATAAATTTTTTTTGTCTTTATAAATATATATAATTTTTTGAAATTTTTTTGTAGAAATTTTGTGTTATATATTAAATGTTATTCTATTTTTTTCTAGCACATTTTTCTTTTTTTCGCGTAATTAAAACTAAAATTATTCAAAAAATTGTTTTGAGCCATTGTATTAAACTAGTATATAGTCTAAAGTTTGTTTGGAATGGCTAGTAAATTCGGCCACACGTAAAAGTGGATTCATCCATAGTGACACGTTTAATAAAATTATACTTAAAATTTTTACTATTAAAAATTTGTGATTTTAATTTAATTTAAAGCCTTCAGTGATATTTATTTAAAAATACATTATCATTATTTAAGAAACTTCTCTTTACATATTTTTTCTAAAAGCACATTTATGAAATTATGTAAAATTGTTTGGAATACAATTCAAACTTCAATGCACCTTTTAATGTAAGTAAAAAATTTAGATATAATTGATATATCATAATTTACATATATAACGTAGTTTTATGTTTTTATTTATAATTATAATTATATTTAAAATTGATGACAGGTTAGAAAGTTTTACTATGAGAAGATATTTGTAGTATTATATCGTAACGTAGCCTATTATTTAATATGAAGTATAATATTATTTTTATTAATTATAAAACTAAAAATATAAAACTATTAAATTTGAATAAATTAATTTATTTATATTTATAACATAATATATAATCTACATGATCTAATTCATAATCTTTCTAAAAGATTAAACAATTATAATTAATGAATTCTTGAAGTTAAATTATGTTGGTACACATGATATAAAAACTGACGAGCCAATATTTAAAATATTTTAAGATATATAATAATCTTGATTTAAAAATTTTTTGTATGGGAAAGAAAAAAATTAACAAGAAATTAAAATAATTTATAAATACTTGATAAGTACTTGATACTTAATAAATAAATTTCAATTTTCTCATCAAATAATAATTATTTATTAATATTCATTTTCTTTGATAATAAAATAATTTATTTTTATGAAAATATCTGTTTCATTTTATTTATATTATATTTAAGAAAATTTAGGAACAAAATTAATTTTTAACTATATTTTAATTTTTAAGTTAATTTAAATAAAATTAAAATATTTATTTTTAAAAAAATGTACTACTAGTATATATTAATATTTATCTCTTAATTTCTTTAATGAATAAAAAAAAGAATAAATTTTTTTATTTACTAAATAAATAAAATTATTTACTATTTAATATATTTTGTCAAGAATTGATTAATCAGAATTAAGAAAATTTTAATTTCATTAAAGAAAATTTCTTTAAAAATTAATGTTTCATTATTATTATTAGATATATTAGATTATTAGATAATTTATTATCTATATATTATATTAACATAAATTATTTTTTATATTTAAAAAAAATAAAAAAATTGTTAAAATTTATACTTTAAATAAATATATCAATATGATCATTAAATTAAAATTAACCAGTATAATTAATGTATATAATATATAATATTTTCTCTTTATTCAAAACTCAGTGAAGTAGGACTAGAAAGAAAAATGGCTCGCTTCAATCGGTTTATATATAACTATATTCAAGATGTATTGATACTAACATTTGATTTAGGTTTTAATCTCTCACATTTTGAATTAAAATGTTCGAAAATGTATCTTCTGAACAAAAAGATGATCATTTTAAAGATGAATATTTTGAAGAATTTGAGCATAAACCATTACTAATAAGTATACCAAAAGTAGAACCAATATGTTCTAGTGTAACTAATTTAAATGAAAATATACTGAATGAGGTAAGTATATAATTATTAATATTCTTAATATTTTATTTCATATGTTTTTTTTTGTAACTTCAATATAACTTCATTTTTTTCTTTTTTCATTTATAAAATAAATCTATTGTGTAATAATTTTAAATATATTAGATATAGATAGTAATATTATTAAGAATTTATTGAATTCAATATTATAAAAAAAATATCACGACATAATGAAATTTTTAATTTTTAAAATAAGAAAGAACAGTCAGTTTACATCTCAAATTTTGGCGGGAATTTTAAATTTATTTACTTCTTTTTTTATAATGTATTTCGTTCTAATTATATAAATAATAAAAATAATAATAAAAACGTAGGTTTATATTTGTAAGAATATTTTTAAAATAATTATTCAAATTTTTTTTGAATTTCAATATAAAAAAAATATAATTGTATTAAATGTATATAGTATAATAATTTATATTTTTAAAATTTTTAATTTTAGGATGAAAAAATTACATCAGCAATTCCTTTAATTATGCCATATAAAATAAGGGATCCTATTATTTTACTTGAAAGATGTGATAAAATATGGGAGACATTAAAAGTAATAAAAAATGTACAAGATAAAAGTAAAATTGATACACTTAATACATTACCATTAGAAATAAATTCAAAATCATTATATATTCAATATCAATCACCATTAGAAAACAGTAATGTTGAATTACCAAATTTTAAATTTTCTGTAAAATATAAAAAGAGATTATTTCATTGTTTAACATGTGGAAAACAATATACTCAAAATCGAAGATTGATATCTCATTCAGAAAAAGTACATGGTATTTGCATACCACCCAAACGAAAAAAATACACTGTTTTATATCAAAAACATAAATTTGATAAAATGAAAGAAAAAGATCCTAACATTATCGAAACAGAAGTAGATTCTAGTGGAAAAGTTTCGTTAAAAAAAGATGAAAATAGATTACATGAAGAAACATCATTACAATCAACATCATCATCAAATGATAACAAAATTATTTCAGATTTGCACTTAAGAAGAAAAAGAAATATCAATGAAATTATGTGTGGTAAAAATGAACAAGAAAAAAAAATATTAAATAAAGAATTCAAACAAAGTGAAAAAATAATCTCAGAATCTCATATATTTTTATTAACATGTATATTATGCAAAAAAACTGTAAATGATATAAGAAAGCATTTAATTGATTATCATAAAATTGAATCACCTGATTTTATGTTAAAGAATTTAAATGAAACACCTAATCATTTAAAAGACAAATTAAGAACAGGAGTTCCTAATGATGAGAATGAAATTATTGAAAATAAGAAAAAAGTAATATCAAATATACAATATTCAAATTCTAGAAAAAGATATAAAGTTAGTAATAATAAGGATTCGCAGGTTGATGAAAATGATACACGTCAATGTGATATTTGTCTTGGTCACTATAAAATTCGTAGTTTTTATACACATATGCGTAATCATCGTCAACGTGGAGAAACAAAAGAAAATTTCCATTTATCTGATAATAAATATTTAAATTCTCCATTATATTTAAAATCAAAATTAAATTCAAATGATATATCCAATGAAAATTCAAATAGTAATAAAGATAATTCAATATCATTTAAAAATAAAGAAAAAAAATGGCAAACTGAAGATGATATGCAAAATAAAGATAACATTAAGAAGACATCAAATAGAAATAATATTTGTTCCTGTGGTAGAAAATTTCGTAATCCTCATACATTATTTGTACATAAGAAAAATTGTACTTCAATAGATGAATTAAAACAACCAATTATAGAAAACAGAGTAAATATAAGAAACCAATATGTTATACAAAATAATTCTGATAAAAATTCTGAAATTGGAATTAGCATAACAATAAAGAAAAAAAATAATTCTTATGAAATCATTGATAGAAATAATAAAAATAAAAATAAAATGCAGGATTCCATTAATTCAAAATATTTTAATGCATCAAATATTTCAGAAAATAATACCCAAATAGAATTACAAGATCAATTACGAGATGAAACTTCAGAATTATCTAAATATAGTGAAAGACATAGTATTTTAAAGATTCAATCTGCTGATGAAGATATTGATATTGACATTGAAGAAGATTCACAAACAAATGATTTTTGTAAAGAAAAAGAAGAACAAAAAGTAAAAATAGATCAAGATGATGATTCTTGCCAAAAATCTATTAACTCAGAATTTTTGAAAAAAAAAATTCTTTTCAAACGTAATTGTAAACAATTTAATGGCACCAAAATAAACTTTGCTAAGAAATATAATATTTGTGTATGTGGTTATAAATTTTACACTAGAAGAGCTCTTGAGATTCATACTAATAAACACCATCCAAATTCGAATTTGATATGTGGTTATTGTAAAGTTAATTTTTCTAATGGTATTACATGGAATAAACATCAGTGTTCTGTTAATGAAGGAAAAAAATTTATTGATATACGCATGGAAATAAATTGTTCTTATTGTACTGTTTCTTTAAGTTCACATAAAAAATTTGATGATCATATAAAAGAAAAACATCATGATCCTGTACTGCCGTTTCAATGTTTTCGGTGTTGTAAACGATTTTCTAATACCTCATCTCGGAAAATACATTTTGATACAGATCATGCGGTAACTGTTTGTTCCTTATGTAATAACAAAATTTTTGATATTATGAAATCTAGGCATGAAGCATATCATTATGGACTTGGATTTCCTTGTCATATTTGTAAAAGAACTTATACCACTAAAGAAAATTTATTAAAACATACAAAAAGATGTCACAAATAAAGTGTCAGAAAGTATCATTTATGGCAAACAATGATTTAAATGCATAATATTTTTTATGAATTTTACAATTTATATTATATATTTACAAAAGAGAAGTGAAATACTTGAAAAATTATAATAATAAAAATAAAAACATTGAAATAATAATTTAAATAGATAATTTAAAATGAAAAGGAAACAAATAAATGAAATAAATATGACACAATTTATAATTTATTTTTCAATTTTTTTTCTTTTTTTAATTAAAAAAATAAATAAATAACGATTTTTACAAGGAGATGTCACTTTATGATAATATATAATACATTAAATTTATTATATAAAAAAAAGATATATTATATTGTTGAATATATATATAATACTGTGTTTATATTTATGTCAAACATAAAAATAACTGTATATATAAAAAATATAGGTATAAGTAATGTAAAGATGAATAAAAAAGGTACATTTGAACTATCATTACATACAATTTTTATTTTTTAAGTATATAAAATACAAAATTGAATTGAATTTCAATCTTAATTAAAGTTTAATGTTTATTATAAATAAATACGATAAGACGAGTTACATTACATTTAACTTTTTTTTTTTTTCAGAAATAAAATATATATATATTTCAATTGATGATAAATAGTACTATAGCTTTATTTATGTTAATTACCAAATATTTAATTATTAATTATTTAATTATCTCATGAAACTTTTTAATAAAACATCTATCTACAAAATATTGATGACACAAATGTTTAAAACTTTGTTATACACAGGTATTATTATCAAAAATATATTTTTCTTTTAAAGTCAATATTAAATTATTATTATTGATTGTAATAATTTTATTGACTATATGAATAAATAAATAAATAAATAAATAATATAAAATATAAGAAAATTTCTTTATACATTTTTTAAATTCAATATGACAAATTTAAACAAATTTATTATTAATTTATTACTTAAAATTATTCCTAATGTATCGTGACTCGTACTTTTAAATATTAACGAATAAATAAATATAAAGTAATAATAATAAAGTATAATTAAAATATGATAAAATTTTTTATATTTTTTTGTATTATAGAATATAAGAATTAATTATGAAATAAATGATATTTTTTATTTTTTTATTTACATTAAAGATTTTAATTAAGAAATATCATTTTATTTTATTATTAACGAAATATAAAATGAAATATTTTCATTTCTTTTTCTTAATTATTATCATGTTAGAATATTTTAATTAATATAAATTTTATATATATTTTTAGAAAAATACAAAAACTCTTGACGTAATTAAAATTAATAATTTATTTTATAATATTATAATAATAAATATGTAATAAAATTAAATATTTAGTGCAATCGTAAAGAATTAGTGTTATCAAAATTAAATGTAAATGTAATATTAATAATATTAATATTGATTTTGAAATAAAATAAATAAGAAAAAAACTTTTGTTTGAAATATTTAAAAACATAATTTCATTTTTATATCGTTTTGTAATATTTTTGATAAAGATGATTATAAAATGATTATAAAATGATTATAAAATCGATTTTATATAATATTCTTAATATTCTTATATGGAAAAACAATAATGAATAGATCTTTCATTAGACATCAGAGACATTATGACATATTAAAACGGATTAAATTTGGTGATGATTTATTTATAAATATTCTATATTTTTAAATATAGAATTAATACATAGGATAGATTCATTATATCAAATCGATGGTATTATAAAATATACAAGTTTTCTAAAAAAAAATACTTCAAAACATATTAGAAAATGAAATATGTTCATATAATAGATATTCTAAAGATATTGCGAAAAATGTGAAAAATTAGATTAATATTTAACAATTTAATATACTTTAAAATGATCTGTTTAAAGTTCGAACTTTCGAAATTTAATAAAAAATATTTAGGCATATTTAAAGATAAAGTTAACAAATCAGTGGAATATTCTTTCAATGTTATGAATTGATTGATAGCAAAAGATACAAAAATAAATATATTTTTTATTTATGTATAGAATATTATGTATATTATTATATTATGTATAGAATAATGCAAAAATGATTAAATATGATTATTAAAATCATAGTTAAATTAAAAAATCATTATTTATAAAAAAAACAATCTTATTATTAAATTACGTATACATAACTAAATATAATATAAAATATATAAAACTTTATAAATTTTTCTATTGGAAAAAAACATTGTAATATTTCTTGATAATTAATTGTGATACAAAATTGATTCTATGCAAGAAATTTATCACTTAAAGTAGTAATAATAACAAATTTGTTTTATTTTTTTCTTTCTTTTTTTTTTTTTTTAAACCATTAATATGCATATCAATTTTTGATTCTTTTGTCTTCATATATAGATATTGAATTAAATATTATTTAAGTTAATATAATAAAATATGTATATTCAGTTTTACTTATAATTTTATGCTCTACGAAGTAGTCACAGTGATGGGAATCGGGAAGCTCGATTGAAAAGAGGGGATAGCCAGCGCATCTGAAACATGATCACCAGGCGTCGCTTCGAGCGTACCCGTCGCCATCGAAGTTATAAAACCGATCAAAGCCGTACGGAGTTTCTAGGAGGGTGGTCGCGTTACGCTCAGAACTTTCTTAAACAGACGAAATCTTTTCGACTAATATACATATATATGATTCGGTTCGCGCAACGGCGAAAGTAGAAAAAAATGACGGAACTTCGTGTGATTTGACAGTGAAGAAACACTTAATGGGAAAAGTGCCTCGGTATCCTGTGGTTAGTATTCGGGAATTCTAAGTATCGCCACAACACCCTGTAGCTCTTTGGTTAATCGCGTCATTTTTTGGTGCATCAGGATTCGATTAATATATGATTCTTCGACAAGGTAGCTTGCTTTGATAGATCACGTATATTGTATTCAGTCATGAAAATAATGAAAGAAACGAAGTTTATGAAAAGTTTTAAAATATTAATCATCAAATACAATGTGTAGTTTTATAGGAAATAAGAAACTAAGGCCGGCATAGTCAATATATGTGTACACAGTGACTCGGACAATAGCCCGAGGCAGAAATTCTGCTTTAGAGAAATATGGTGGATTCGTTTGATATCGATCACACATTGTGATTTGTAAAATCAATCCATAAATTTCAATTTTCAAATTTATATATTCTCTGGAATGATTTTATCTTCATTTTTATATATTTTCCATCGGTTTTGTTTTGTTTTCTCTTTATACAATGGATAATATCTAGTCAGACATTAATAATAATCGTTTTCGGAGTAATAACAGAATTTGTTTTCTTTTTAATTTCTTTTTATAATAAATATTAAATATATTATTAATATATATATATATATATATATATATATATATATATATATATATGAGAACTTTCTTAAACAGACGAAATCTTTTCGACTAATATACATATATATGATTCGGTTCGCGCAACGGCGAAAGTAGAAAAAAATGACGGAACTTCGTGTGATTTGACAGTGAAGAAACACTTAATGGGAAAAGTGCCTCGGTATCCTGTGGTTAGTATTCGGGAATTCTAAGTATCGCCACAACACCCTGTAGCTCTTTGGTTAATCGCGTCATTTTTTGGTGCATCAGGATTCGATTAATATATGATTCTTCGACAAGGTAGCTTGCTTTGATAGATCACGTATATTGTATTCAGTCATGAAAATAATGAAAGAAACGAAGTTTATGAAAAGTTTTAAAATATTAATCATCAAATACAATGTGTAGTTTTATAGGAAATAAGAAACTAAGGCCGGCATAGTCAATATATGTGTACACAGTGACTCGGACAATAGCCCGAGGCAGAAATTCTGCTTTAGAGAAATATGGTGGATTCGTTTGATATCGATCACACATTGTGATTTGTAAAATCAATCCATAAATTTCAATTTTCAAATTTATATATTCTCTGGAATGATTTTATCTTCATTTTTATATATTTTCCATCGGTTTTGTTTTGTTTTCTCTTTATACAATGGATAATATCTAGTCAGACATTAATAATAATCGTTTTCGGAGTAATAACAGAATTTGTTTTCTTTTTAATTTCTTTTTATAATAAATATTAAATATATTATTAATATATATATATATATATATATATATATATATATATATATATATGAGATGTGAATTTTTTCTAGACTTAATGAAAATTAGTGAATTTTGATTTTGAATTATAGAATTTTTTCTTATTTAACACAAAGGTATAAAAGAAGAATAAGTTTTTTTCAAATTTTGCAATCATATTTTTGTCGTTACAAATTCTTATTTCAATACACAATGCTATTATGCTTTTGAACAAAGTTTTCTATACAAGTTTCATTCGTGTCGATGAAATATTGCTTATTCGAATATTTGGGAATCGAAACGATCATCCCGCGCGACACTGCTTTTATCACGGTAGTTCGCATACTTGAGAGGCGCGCAGTGCTCAAACGGGCACGGCCGAATCGATTTTCCCTGGTTCCACTACTGACGATAGAGCTACATGTATGATTACTCGAGTTCCTACCGGAAACTATTTTGCCCAGTTTCTTCCAATGAACGGTATTTCGTATAATCTGTCCGCCATGAATGGATTGGATTTGTAACAAAAGTTTTACACTGTTTGACCGTTAGTTCGATTAACGCTAGTGAAAACCGGCCTGTGTGAGATTGGCTAAAATTAAACCGTAGTTGAAAACGAGCTCGATTCGTGATGCAGTTAAAATGTGGATGGAAACGTTTACTTTCAATGACAATACATTTTTATTTTAATCTTCGAGAAATATGCATTGATCGATTAGTTCTCGATCGGTATATCTTGTGAAGTCTGCCTCCTAACGTGCTTGAACTAGCTAGTCATATACCGTTATACCACCCGTATCGCGCGGTGAGAATCCTAAAAATAGCGACGACCAGTGTACGAAAATAATTCTACATTTTCTAATGAATTTCGATAGCGTGTCAGCAAAAGAAAGGGCACGCTTGCTAACATGACATGTTAATCGAGTTAAATTGCAATCAATCATTTTTTTTTAATTACTCGGAATACTCGTTTCTATAATATTTATAATCTGTGATTTAAACTCTGCGAGGCGATTCAATTTTTTGCTTTGTGTTACAGCCTTTAGCCTCCGAGCATAGATATACTCTTTTCCTATCGTTTTCGAAGTAGTTTCCAATAGGATCGATATTTTATAGATAGATGCGATAGTGTAGTGTAGCAAAGCTGACAGAAACGAAAGAGATAGGAGCAATAAGATCGGAAAGAATCGGCCAATCGGCTCGGCGATCCGTAGATTGACCCGTTTCTTCTGATCGACGATTCGCCGTCTCGTTTGAACAGATATCCGGATTTTGGCCAGCGGACCGACATTGGTAATCAGTGAACGGAAGGAAAGCTCGAGGCGTGGAACGCGAAAGGGTGAGATAGGGGTGAACTGGTGGAGGGTGAGGCTGAAGTGATGACGGGCGAGGAAGGAAAGTGCGGGGGTGGAACTGGCACTGGTGGGGATGCCGGTGTTGGAAACACGAACACGAACCTTACCGATAATGTGAACAATATTAATGCCAACGTACATGCGAATCTTAACGCCAACATTAATGTCAGCCAACAGAATGGAGGACCGGAAAAAGCGCCTGTCGTCGGCGGTACCAATGTGGAAACGTTACCTCGCGCTGGTAAACAGGTAAGAGAATTATGCCTCTTTTAATTTTAATCAAAAGATCTATCGTGACACAACTTTTTAAGCAAATATTTTATTATACGCAGTTTATTTATTATTTATTTTAAACCATACGCGAGTATCATATATGTCTCGGTTTTCTCTACTTTTTCCGTAACTAAGCACGGGCTCGGATTACGGAACGTTTACTGTGTTTAAGAGAGATGAGTAAGTATCTTCCTTTTAGTCGATCTAGACCGACAGAGAAAGATTAGGAAACATAGGAAGTTTTGATGAAATGCCGTAATTTAATATTTATGAAAGAAAGATGACACTAGAAGCTGTGTATCCGGTTTTCAGTATACTTGCGGTACCGTAAGAAACAGGCGATCATCCCCTTGGCGCATCTAACGACAGTCAATGGATAATATTTATCCATGAAATAACCACTTGTATACAGCTTCTAATTATATTTTGTATTCATTTTTACGTAACAATTTGATTTTAATACGATTAATAGATTAAAGAGTAGAAAGGAGATTTAATAATTTTATAACTGATTTTATAATTCATTCATAATCTCCGTTTTAATAAGAATAGCACAACTATTCAATTTGGTATTCATTAAATACACTCGATAAAGTTTCTGTTCAGATCGACCAGAGGGTACTTGTTTAAATTTAAATCAATCTAATCTGGTCAACAGAGATGATGTTGTAATATCCTTTGTTATATTATTTTAGGATATCCTTGTAAAGAATTCTTGATATTTAATTAAAATATAAAATATACGTAACATTCCTTGCTTTCGCAGCACATTTAATAAATTCGCTTTATTAAAACGTACGATTTCTTACTTCATTCGGAAATAGCAATTTAAAAAAAAGAAAATGTTTTTCTTTAAATAAAATACTAGTTTAATTTTACACGATAAATTTCAAGAATTTATATTAACTTCTTTTTTTTCTTTTTTTTTCTTTTTTTCGAATGAAAATTTTTCAATTATTATAATTGATACTCATCGTTAGATTCGTCAAAGATGACTCGGAATATTTGTGCTCGTATTTACAGTAAATTGTAATTATGCATACGAGAGAAGCAAACAAGAATTATAACCTTGAGTACGAAGAAGTCATGATTTTATTTAATCACAACATAAATTGCGGAAATAATGCAAAGAAGATAGTAAATATACATGGAAGTTAGAAGACTATCTATATAATGAGTTTTCCAAATTACATTTACTTTGCATTAATGTATTAAGTTTAATGGTTGTTCCAGCTCAAAGGTCATGGTTAACGTAGATTGTAGATTGTGAAAATTGTAAACAGAGAATAAAAGTTGTGCGTAGAAGATTTTGCGAGTCCAAAAACATTGTATGTATTGTACGATATACGAGAACTCGTTTCTATTTATAAACCTATTCGACTCCAAAATTAATTGACATTTGAGATTAAAACGAGTTTGTTCGTTAAAGTGTGCATTTCTGAACGAATGATCAAGCAGATGTGTTTTTACTTAAAATTACGATACGCGTGAAAACTTTAACGCAATACAAACGCAATACAAAGTATATATTTATTGGCACTGCCTGTAGGTAGTATCGTGTACACAAAAGTGTAAAAAAAACCATTTCGTGATTTTCTTACGTTTGGCTGAGTTATATTTTTCGTACGATTTTCTGAATGAATTAGTGAATCGGAACGGTATTTCCAGAAAAAGTAGCGTGTTGTAAAATACGCGAAGAAATGTGTATGGACACGAGCCAAGCTCTTTTACGTATCCTTTCCTCGAACGCATTTTATATTCTCCTCGAATATTAAAGTAGCCATGTAAAACAAAGAAATTTTCAAATTCTCAAAAAAATAAATAATCTTCTACTTCTTTGTCCTTAAAAAAATGAAGAATTTCAATATTTATCACATTATATATATCATATTATATTTTTGGTGGCTTGTCAAAACTGGAGTTGTTTTATCACAATTCTCCTTATTGCTTATGGAGTTCTCTGATAAAGATTGCATAAACCAGACGGTTACCATATTGGCGATCATTTATGATTCGTACGTGACTCCGTTTATCTACTCGTACAGTTTCGACTCACGTAAAATTACGTCATAATCCCATCAGTACGGACCCTGTAAACGGATCTTCATAAATGGACCTTCATTCATGCTACGAGGCCACGGTTACTATCTCTAATCGTTTCAAGCGTAACTCTCCATATAGTATAAAAATACTTTTGTATTCTTATTGCGATAAAGCAAACTTCGTACGTTCGGATCGATCAAAAAGCATCGAACGATGTCACTCGTATAATAATACAAGATTTACCTATTCGAGATCTCTATATATACATATATATTTTTGTTTGTTCACGTTTGAGGAACTTGGATTAAACATTTCGATAATAGTACGTACGTACAGAGTACGAGAAGATTGCTAAGTTTATTGGTCAGATGGTAAATACTTGAACAAACGTGTTCAGCCAGAGAACACATCATTCTCCATCAGTGTAATAACGGAAGTTGAGTTGCTATTTACCTTGACTTGTGCAAATTGAATAATTGATGTTTAACAAAAAAAAAAGTACGAAAGCGAAAGATTGAAATGTGCTGCAGACGTCAAGTTCTTTTTTTTCTTTTTCTTTTTTATATCGAACATAAATGTGTGTAAATTTACGATTTGCTCACTTTAGTTCTTCACTTTAAATACGGAACTTCGTAAAGACGAATCGATGTTCGATCTTACATCGCGAAAGGGCGTAATGGCGATGACGAATGTAGGTCATCCGTGTACTTTATCCAAGATGTATTGTGCCTCGTTACTTGTGACATTCACCGATACGACCGTTATAATTTTCATGGTCTTCGTGCAGGGAAGCGAAGTATTGTTCGCTGCATGACACATCGCTCTGCGTAAATGCGTTTATGAAAGTAAGCGCGTAAAGACATGTGTGACGAGTCTGGGTTACATCTGATTGCTTGCGACAATGCGACGCTGTGTAACGCATAACCCACACTTGTTAGAAATATGTGCGTTTCTTTCTTTTCTTTCTTTCTTCCTTTTCTTTTTTTTTTTTTTTTTTTTTTCATTGTCCCCTTCATCCGGTTGCAGAATCTGTTTAAGAAATCACAAATCGTGTAATTTCTATGGTAATTAGAAAGAAAATAGGATTTAGAATATCATTCGATGGAAATTTCGATGCAAATTTTATTATATCGTCTGTTACAATGATAATCGTTCCTTCAAACTAATTTTCATTATATTTCATTATCCATGAAATTATTCGATTTCCACGAGAAATGCCCGCTACTTTAAACAGACAAAAAAAAGAAAAAAAAGAAAAAAGAACAGACAGTTCCCATCCATAGCGATCTACAATCTTTAGAGAAATACGTTATATAGCCATTAATATCAATTTCCTGTACGTGTAATTGTTATTTTTGCGCCGTGAATTAATGACGCATGACGATCGTTAAGTTCAGATGCAAAAGCAATAGTAACCGTAACTAATATACATACACGTCTCCTTACGTGTCTCCGTAATCTTGACATACATACCTATTACCTACGTCTCGTTTCAATTCCGTTTTTTTTTTCCTTCTTTTTTTTTTCTATCGCGTTTTTGCGTCACTTGCTACTAGGTGCATACGTTTCACCGTCTTTTCCGGAGCGAGCGATAATTAATCCGCCTCGTAAAACGCATATCTATTGGAACGTCGTAATAGCAATTGTAATCGCGAGGGGAGGGAAAAAGCTTTGAAGTACGAAGAAGAAAGGAGTCCCTTTGCTTAAAGGGAGCGGACCAATTAACGGCTCTCTGCGTGCAGTACAATGGTAATCGTTGCTCGAGGAGCACGGCGCGTGGCCTTCGCAAATTTCGTACGTTCGTTAATTTAATCAGCCTGTGATAATGCGTTCACGCGGGTACGCGCAATTTTACAGTTTTCTACTTTCTCGATTTGTCAACCGTGCATGGAACTGGGTTGCGAAACCGCATAAAGAGACGCGCGAACGCAAGCGATCCAGGCTCATCTACGTGTAAAGTTCCTTCCTGGGGTGGAGACTGAAAATAAACGTTTTTGCCTCGACATGTTGCCTCGTATACACCAAGTATCGAAGTATCGTCGACGCTCGAGCAGAGAGCTTGAAGCTTCGTTTCCACCGCTTGAACTTGTTCGAGGCGCGTATATATGTACAAGTGCACGGTTGAGGAGGGGGGGGGGGGGGGAAGAGGGAAAGTCGTACTCTTGCCGCGTTACGGTGTTCAACTTGTACATTTTTACACGACGTATCTTTTATTATCGTGTCAATGTTATGTCGGGTGTTAAAAAAATGAAGGTCGACGAAGGTGTAATAAAATTTCTGGCCAATAAAAAGGAGACTCGACTTTCTTTTCCCTCGCGATTAATATAATACTTATGCATCATCAGATCGTATACAGGGAGAGAAGCGTATACTTTCTCGTATAGATTTAAAGAAGGGATTTCTCGAATGAAATTTGGCACCGTGCCTCGGATGCGTACTTATGGACAGACACGTAATATATCGGAGACGACGCCAGTGATTGACCCAGTTTAATAAAGTCTCATAAAACGCTATCGTCATTAAAAGCTTTATAAGTAGTTTGAGTTATTCATCAGGCCCAACAATCGACCACGATGTGTCATCAGCATAAACCTAATTAAATTATTAAATCGTGACGGCCTCGACGAGATGTCAGCCACCTTCTTCGAGTAGTCGTTTTAATAGATGTTGCTCCAATCAAGTTTGACACTTGTGTGACCCTTTCTAGTCCTCGTTTTATATATGATTCGATATCATCGCGACGAAATCCTTGCTTACGTTGCATACTTTCCATTACGTTCTTCATAATTTAATTGTACAATGACTCCAACTCCTCGAGGATGCAGGGATCATAATTTGTTACGTTACCCTATACGGGGTGTAATGATCGAAAAGGGTGGATGAAGGGTTCTGGCCTTTTCTTGTGCACTTAATACTTCCTCATCTGTTTTTTT